AGGAAGAAAACCCAAGAGGCGGAACCCCCTTAGCGGGGGGGGGGCCACCCTTCTGGGGCCTCGCGGAATCCCCCCGGGCGTTTCCCCTTGGGGAATGGACCACCCGGTTTGGGGGAAACCCCGGGGTTTTCCGTCCCGGTTTTTTAGGGAGGGGGGGTCAAGGTTTTGAGGATTACGGCATCCCCGACAAGGGGTCCCCCCCCCCCCCCCCCCCATACGCCTCTCCCCCCTCTCAACTTGACCAGAACGCTGTCTCTTCGAGGACAAGGCAAGGCAAGGCAAGGCCACCAGGACCACCATCATCATCATCTCCTTTGGAATCCGACACTAAGTCGCTCTACCATCACCATTAGCGATGGACCTCAACCATGTTCATGCTGGTGGGAGCAAGCCGATGAGTCCTGAATCACATGCTTCTCCCATCATTTCCCTCATGATGTGAACGAGAAAACCTCTTAAATCACGAAGCAACTCATTCATGTGTGTCGTGTAAAAGCAGACGTTCAAGCTCATATGCTGCTGTGTCCGATACAGAGATTCTGCGAGAGAAAACCGTGAAGCAAATCCATCACCTTCACGAGGGCCCCCGAAGGGCTGAAGGCGTCGCAGGCCCAGGCTGGATCGGTCGCCGCGGCGCAGAGCGAGCCCCTAGCGGCCACATCGTCGGCATAGAAGCCGTCCACAAGGTACTGCCGCACCAGGGCCGCGGCTCCGGCGGCGATGGGGCAGCTCATGCTGGTGCCCGAGTTGCGGTCAAGCTGGCACGAACCTTCGCCCCCATTGGATGCGCTGAAGATCTGGAAAGAGACCATGCCATAAGACAAGAAGGGCAACACATACACGGTACGGTATATACACGAGAGAGAGAGAGAGAGAGAGAAAAAAAAAGGGAGGCAGAGACCATAGAGACAGAATGGCAACATATACGCGGTACGGTACATACACGAAGAGAGGGAGAGAAAAAAATGGAGGCAGGGTTTTTCATGTACCAAACCGATGGGATGGAGGCTTGCCTTCATTTCGCTACACATTTCACCGCGCGTGTCTCCCCGTGCGGCGAGTTACCGCCGTTCGCGCACCTACATTGGGGCAACCAGCGACAGCAACAGCGCGGTCTGTTTCACGCTCATGGCATGCACGCACACATACACTCACGAAAATAAAACTATTTAGCTGTGTATGCGGGCGTCGCCTGCAGCAGGGACCGTCGCACTGGTGCCATCTACTCAACGGCTTAACCATGTAAATCGTAACACCCAAACGCAATAACAAAAACACCAGCAGCAAAAACACGCATTCCAAAAGACAGAAAGAAACAAGAAAACCATAAAACGAGGCAAAAAAAAAAAAAAAAAAACTCACGTAGTGTCCAGGAGCCAAGATATCGGGTTTAATCCTGTCATCCGTCGTGGGCCCCAAGCTGCTGAAGTCCGACACCTCGTCAAGGTCTCCGGGAGACAGGCGTAACTCGCCCGACATGCTCGACCCCACGGCGAGGCAGTTCTTCGACAACGCCGGCGACGCGATGCTGCAGCCTTCCATGTCGTCACCCAGGTTGCCGGCGGCGAACACCAGCAAGTGCTCCGGGTTCTGAGAGTGGGGGGGGGGGGGGGGAAAGGGGG